GACAGAAAATCAAAGGTTCCCAGTTTGGGAGCAACTTTTCTGTATAAATGAGTGCAGCATCAGTGTATTTTGAGGCTATGTAAAGAACTTTTAGTTAAGCGGTAAAACTGAGTTATTTTTAAGGAAGCTGATGTCAAGGACTGAACCCAGAGACTAAGAATATGACAATAGACACCCCAGCTCCCCACCAAAAACCCAGCAAGAGACTTTGTGATATTTATGTTTAAAGACTGTACCAGCAGGACCACATTTATGAGGCTTTTGCAAGTGAAGCACACCAATCATGAGCAGAAGGCTCAGCTCAGGCTAACAACATCTTATCTTTCTCTTCGTCATTTATGGGATCCCTGTTGGCCTCTGAGTATTGTTTGTGGACTGGAAATGTATGACATAAATCTTTGCTAGTCTTTTTAAAAGAGACTTTGATTGTCTCAAGGGAAAGTTTCATTGGGTCAATTCCATCCAGGAACCTCAAGTCATTACAGCATAAAGAATATAGGTCATATTTATCATCAGAGTCTGGATAAACCTTTTCTAAGTGTGATTCTTCTTCACTGAGATACAAACATTTCTTTCCTAATCACTAATTTTATGTTTAGTTTTGTTCTTAGAGGAAAGTAATTTTTAATGGGATGGAAGGTAGTATCTTGGTGGCTCGCTCTTTTCTCTTCCTCTTCATTGTCATACATATCTTCCATTGTCCCCTGTCTCCGCAGCATGTTCATAAAATTTAGATCAGATCATCTTACAATGTTATTTTCTAGACTTTTTAGTATGTATTATTTTTCCCACAAGAGTGTATTTCCTGAATATCTGATTTCTGTTTATAATCTGCTCATCTATTGTTTTCCAAAATGTCTGCCAACAATAAATGCATCATAAATAGTTGTTGGCTAAATGTATGAATAAATACAGTTGCTATTATAAAATATGTCATTCACATCTTTCTTTAAAAAAAAACTCAGGAGACCTTAAACCTCCCCTTTAACTCTCTATTGTTTCCTGAACTGAATGCTGTCTTTCACGTCCTATCCCTAACACCTTCTACAATCATTTCCATGTAATTCCATGATGCCCCTGTGTTCCTGCTAACCTGAACTTCTTTTTATTCCTAAAAGAAAAGATAATCTTCTATAACTTTGAAAGTTCTTCCTGTCTTTTCCATTTGTGAATGTAAATTTATCCTTCAAAATACAGATCCTTGTGAATCCTTATTTGGTTCTCCAGAGTGACTCTTCGTTAGTACTTAAGTGACACTTTGTAACTATCTCTACTATATCAATCACATTCGAAATACAATAGTGGAATTATTTGCTCATTTGGCATCCCACAGCAAACACACAAACACCACATACGCCCCATACAAACCTCTCTGAGCATAGATATTACATCTTATTTCTTATATCTAACTAAGCACCCAGTATAGTACTTGAAAGATAATTAGGTATTAAATGTGTATTTGCTAAATGAAAGAATAATTAAAATGATGAATGAGTGAATGAATAGAATAGAACAGGAATTTAGGGGCTGGCAAAAAGTTGACCTGTTTTAACCACTTCTAGCTTTTGATCTTCAGAAAGTGCCTTGCCTTTCTAGAGCTTCCATTTTTTCATCTCTAAAATAGGATAGTACTTCTATAATAGAGCTGTGATAAAGGGTATAAAAGATAATTCATGGAAATACTTGGCAGTATCTTACTTATGAGGAGTAAGAAGTAGAAGAAGAAGAAGAAGAAAGAGGAGGAGATATACGAGAAAAAGAATAAAGAGAAAGAGGAAAAGGAGATGCACTAATGATAAATGCATTTAACCAAATGTGAATGGAGAAGCAAGAATAATGTAGACAAAAACCCAACTAATTAAATGATAATTCTTGTCTGAAGCTCCCATTAGATTGTATAGAAAAAAAAAGAAATAATGATGATGATATGGTTTGGCTGTGTCCCCACCCAAATCTCATCTTGAATTGTACTTCCATAATTCCCACATGTTGTGGGAGGGACCCAGTGGGAGATAATTTGAGTCATGGGAGCAGTTTCTCCCATACTGTTTTCTTGGTAGTGAATAAGTCTCATGAGATCTGATGGTTTTATCGGGGTTTCCACTTTTGCGTCTCTTTCTCTCCTTGCCTGCTGCCATCTATGTAAGATGGGACTTGCTCCTTCTTACTTTCTGCCATGATTGTGAGGCTTCCCCAGCCATGTGGAACTGTTAAGTCCAATTAAACCTCTTTCTTTTGTAAATTGCCTGGTCTCAGATATGTTTTTATTAGTAGTGTGAAAACAGACTAATATAGTAAATTGGTACCAGGAGTGGAATATTGCTGAAAAGATACCTAAAAATGTGGAAGTAACTTTGGAACTGGGTAACCAGCAGAGGTTGGAACAGTTTGGAGGGCTCAGACGAAGACAGGAAAATGTGGGAAAGTTTGGAATTTCCTAGAGACTTGTTGAATGGCTTTGACAAAAGTCTAAAGAGGTATGGACAATAAGGTCCAGGCTGAGGTGGTCTCAGATGGAGATGAGGAACTTGTTGGGAAATGGAGCATAGGTGACTCTTCGCATGTTTTAGCAGAGACTGGCAGCATTTTGTCCCTGCCCTAGAGATTTGTGGAACTTTGAACTTGACAGAGATGATTTAGTGTACCTTTTAAGAAGCAAGGCATTCAAGAGATGACTTGGGTGCTGTTAAAAGCATTCAGTTTTAAAAGAGAAACAGAGCATAAAAGTTTGGAAAATTTGCAGCCTGACAATGTAATAGAAAAGAAAAACTCATTTTCTGAGAAGAAATTCAAGCCAGCTGCAGAAATTTGCATAAGAAATGAGGGGCCAAATGTTAATCCCCAAGACAATGGGGAAAATGTCTCCAGGGCATGTCAAAGGGCTTCACAGCTCCCATCACAGGCCCGGAGGCCTAGGAGTAAACGGTTTCATGGGTGGGCCCAGGGTTCCCATGCTATGTGTAGCCTAGAGACTTGGTGCCCCACATCCAAGCTGCTCCAGCTGTGGCTGGAAAAGGCCAATGTACAGCTCAGACTGTAGCTTCAGAGGGTGCAAGCTCCAAACCTTGGCAGCTTCCACATGGTGTTGAGCCTGTGAGTGTACAGAAGTCAAGAATTGGGGTTTGGGAACTTTTTCCTAGATTTCAGAAGATATATGGAAACGTCTGGATGCCCAGGCAGAAGTTTGCTGCAGGGGCAGGGTCTCATGCAGAACCTCTGCTAGGGCAGTGCAGAAGGGAAATTTAGGTTTGAGTCCCCACACAGGGTCTCTACTGGGGCACTGCCTAGTGGAGCTGAGAAGAAGGTCGCAGTCCTCCAGACCCCCAAATGGTAGATCCACTAGCAGCTTGCACTGTTTGACTGGAAAAGCCACAGACACTCAATGCCAGCCTGTGAAAGCAGCTGAAAGGGAGGCTGTACCCTGCAAAGCCACAAGAACGGAGCTGCCCAAGACCATGGAAACCCGCCTCTTCCATCAGCATGACCTGGATTTGAGACCTGGAGTCAAAGAAGATCATTTTGGAGCTTTAAAATTTGACTTCCCCGCTGGATTTTGTACTTGCATGGGCCCGGTAACCCCTTTGTTTTGGTCAATTTCTCCCATTTGGAACAGCTATATTTACTCAATAACTGTACCCCCATTGTATCTATGAAGTAACTAGCTTGCCTTTGATTTTACAGGCTCATAGGTGGAAGGCATTTGCCTTGGCTCAGGTGAGACTTTGGAATGTGGACTTTTGGGTTAATGCTGAAATGAGTTAAGACTTTGGGGGACTGTTGGGAAGGCAAAATTGGTTTTGAAATGTGAGGACATAAGATTTGGGTGGGGTCAGGGGTGGAACAACATGATCTGGCTGTGTCTCCACCCGAATCTCATCTTGAATTGTACTCTCATAATTCCCACATGTTGTAGGAGGGACCTGATGAGAGATAGTTTGAATCATGGGGACTGTTTCCCCCATACCGTTCTCATGGTAGTGAATAAGTCTCAGGAGATGTGATGGCTTTATCAGGGGTTTCCACTTGCGCATCTCTCTCATTCTTTCTTTGCCTGCTGCCATCCATGTAAGACAGGATAAGCTCCTCCTTACCTTCCACCATGATTGTGAGGCTTCCCCAGCCACATGGAACTGTGAGTCCAATTAAACCTCTTTCTTTTGTATATTTCCCAGTCTTGGGTATATCTTTAACAGCACCATGAAAACAGGCTAATACAGATGACAAAAGAAGTTGTCATATGTCTGCTAAGTTCAGTTATCCATTCTTAAATCCTTGCAACTATCACAGATATTCAAAAGAATGGACAGGAATTTAAAAAGAAAAGTAGTTATAATATGAAGTGATAAATGTATAAGAGAGTTTTTTTGTCTTCTTAAAAATGTTTTAATAATAAATAAAAATATCATTTAAAAATACTACTTTTATGGTGTTCTTCATTGGACAGATGCCTACTGTGGGGACAAAACATGAAAGCAATATCCCCAAGACATGGTTAAGAATAGGAGGAGCTTAAAAAAGTTTGACAGGGAATTATATATCTTTTTTAATTGCCATAGTACATTGTCACAATCATTATAGGCATGTTTCAAAGGGGAACGAAGGAATGGGGCTTTCCAGAGAGTCGAATTTCCTTAACCAAAACAATTTCTGAATCCATTGTTACAGCAACATCAAAGTCATTGAAAATGAATAAGGTCTCATGAAGAAATATTTAAATGGATTAATAAGGGTATTTGAGTGTAAGAGTAGGAGTGTGGTTCAGGGTTCATTCCCCAGGGAGGGGTGGAGAGGAAAGAGAGAAGGATTCTTCAAACTTTTGAATAGTCTTTATTCCCAAATAAGTGAGATTTAGTTAACTATGGGCTAGGAGTCTTCAGAGGTAGCCAGAGCTCACTTCTTACATCTCAAGTCACCCTTTGCTACTAACCAAGAAAGCCTGGGGCAGGGTAGAAAAGCAGACGTCAGTTTAAATCCTTTATAAAAAGCCACTCCTGGCCATTACTGCAGGGAAAAGTCCCACAGAGCTGAGCAGTCATGATGTGTGACTTCACCGAGGATCAGACTGCAGAGTTCAAGGAGGCCTTCCAGCTGTTTGACCGAATAGGTGATGGCAAGATCCTGTGCAACCAATGTGGGGATGTGATGAGGGCACTGGGTCAGAACCCCACCAACACTGAGGTGCTCAAGGTTCTAGGGAACCCCAAGAGTAATGAGATGAACGTGAAGGTGCTAGAATTTGAGCACCTTCTGCCCATACTGCGGCCAAGAACAAGGACCAGGGCACTTATGAAGATTATGTAGAAGGACTTCAGGTGTTTGACAAGGAAGGAAATGGCACCGTCATGGGTGTTGAATTCTGGCTTGTTCTTGTCACACTGGGTGAGAAGATAACAGAGGAAGAGGTAGAGGTGCTGGTGGCAGGGAATGAGGGCAGCAATGGTTGTATCAACTATGAAACATTTGTGAGGCACATCCTGTCGGGGTGACAGGCCCATGGGGCAGCTCATCCTTATGGTGCTGAATGGCTGAGGACCTTCCCAGTCTCCCATAGCCCATGTCTCCCCCTGGTGAGAGTTTCTATCTACCCTGAAGGTTCCCTAGGTTCTCTTATCACAGTGCCTTTCCCATGTTGTCTTTCTTGGATGATAGTTTACCATCAGCATTCACCAAATAAACTTGCTCTCTATGCCTCTCCCAAAAAAAAGTCACTCCTATACTCACACCTGCCATCACCACATAGAACATCCTTGTTGCTCAGAAGCTTCTGAATAGGACACTCTCTATACACATGCATGCACACATACACAAGAGAATAGAAATTTATCCCATATCCTCTCTACTTCCTCAAATCTGTGATGAACAAACACTGGCAGTGCCAAAGATTCTGGAACTTAAATGCCATTAAGTCATTTTGATATCATCAGAGTCAAAAGTAAAAAAAAAATTGAGAGACAAGTGGCTTTAAGGATCCTTTGAGGGCCGCTAAGTCATCCGTTTATTTCAAGAAGTGTTGCCAATGGTAAAAAGAAACTTCTTGAGTTGAAATTAAGTTTGGTTTCCAAAGTATTCTTTCAAATAAAAAGAATCAAATTATCAACCTAATTTAAAAAGCTACTATAGACACATGTGTACATGCATTCCACTTATGTATGTGTTCATGTGTGTTCATATGCATGATACATACACATGCCACACACCTATGGCAACTTTCATCATCTTTCACCCCACTATGCTCGACAACATCATTTACACATAGTAGGCCTTCAGCAATTTTTTAAATGAAGTTATGGATGTTGTAATCAAAGTGCATACAGGTGACCGCATACATATAGTTACTGACATCACCATAAAAGTGATTGATACTCCCTCAGAGAGCTTTCAGTTTCCAAAGTATATGCCAAAATGAATGTGCTCTGAGAACACTCTGGAACTGAGGGTCAGAAAATGTCCAGTTTCCATCTCCTGTCACAGCCCCAAACACTATTATTATTTACAGAGGGCCAGTGATTTGCTTGGCACTGTACACCTCACAGGAGAACGCTCTGTCCCTGCCCAGTGGGGTCTGAAGAACAGGACTTGTAGGACATAAAAGACAAGTAAGAACTGGCAAGAGAGAGGAGCAATCTAAGCCTGTGGCTTAAAATACCATTAAAATAATCATTAAAACCAGGCGCCTAACACACCCCATGATCTAGGCCAAAAACACAGGAAAATATAAGATTTTTCACCTTTTAACCACAGGCTCTTTATGTAATTGGTAAGCACCAAGAAAGGGAGTGATAAATTCTTCCCTAGGTATTTGAGGAGACCATTGTATTGTTTTAAGTGTTGTCATTATACATTATGTGCCCACAGTCTCATAGTTTATGTTGGGATACATACAAGAGCATGATGCATGGTGTGGATAGTTTAAGCAGCCAAAGAAGTATTGTCCAGGCTGCCTAGGATATAGCTTGTAAGGACTAACAACATCTTATCTAAGAAAAGTGAAGCCCAGAGTGACATCTCTTGTTGTGCCACTTAAGGACCACAGATGACTTCTTTTTTTTTTTTTTTTTTTTTTTTTTTTTTTTTTTTTTTATAGAGTCTAGCTCTGTCACCCAGGCTAGAGAGTGCAGAGGTGTGATCTGGGCTCACTGCAACCTCCACCTCCCGGGTTCAAGCGATTCTCCTGCCTCAGCTTCCTGAGTAGCTGGGATTGCATGTGCCTGCTACCATGCCCGACTAATTTTTGTATTTTTAGTAGAGACAGGGTTTTGCTATGTTGGTCAGGCTGGTCTCGAACTCCTGACCTCAGGTGATCCTCCTGCCTCAGCATCCCAAAGTGCTGGGATTACAGGCCTGAGCCAACAGATGACTTTTGATCATCCAAAGAAAGGCATCCTTCAAATGCCAATTTCATGTCTTAGTGAGTGCAGGATGCTATCACAGAACACCATAGCAACAGAAATGTATTTCTTATAAGCAACAGAAATTTATTTCTCACAGTTCTGGAGGCTGAAAGTCTGAGATCAAGGTGCCAGCACAGTCAGCTTCTGCTGAGTGTCCTCTTCCAAGTTGCAGATGGCCATCTTCTCATTGTATTATCACATAGAGGAAAGAGGACAAGGGGGTCTTTGGAGTATCTCTTATTGGGGCACTATTCCATTCATGAAGACGCCACCCTTATGACCTAATTACCTCCCAAAGACCCTTCCTCCTAATACCATCACAGTGAGAGTAGGATTTCAACATGTGAATTTTAGTGATACAAACATTCAGTTCATAACATTCCTCAAATAGGAAAAGCATGTAAAGAATCCTGTGAAAAGATGCCAGCCTGTGTGGTAGGCCAAAAAAAAAAAAAAACACTGCTCCCCAAATATGTTCATGTCCCAATCCCCAGAACCTGTGAATATATTACCTTACATATCAAAGGAAGTATCTGCAACTGGGCACAATGACTCGCGCCTATAATCCCAGCACTTTGGGAGACAGAGGTGGGCAGATCACCTGAAGCCAGGAGTTTGAGACCACATTGACCAACATGGTGAAACCCTATCTCTACTAAAAATACAAAAATTAGCCAGGTGTGGTGGCGCACACCTGTAATCCCAGCTACTTGGGAGGCTGAGGCAGGTGAATCACTTGAACCCGGGAGGCAGAGGTTGCAGCGAGCTGAGATTGTGCCAGTGAACTCCAGCGTGGGCTACAGGGTGAGACTTTGTCTCAAAACATACATACATACATACGTATATACATACATACATACATACATACATAAAACAAAGTCTTTGCAGATGTGAAATCAAGGACCTTGATACGGAGAGATTATCTTTGACCACAAGGGTCCTTATAAAGGAAAGGGAGGCGGGTGAGAGTCAAAGCAGGAGATGTGAGCATGTAAGTAGAGGTCAAGGTAATGTAAGAAAACAAGCCACAAGCCAAGGAACGCAGGGGGCTTCTGGAAATTGGACAAGGCAAAGAAATGAAATTTCCCCTAGAACCTCCAGAAGAAATATAGTCCTGCTGACACCTTGATTTTAGGACTTATGACTTCCAGAAATCATAATATAATATATTTGAATTGTTTTTAAGTCATTAAGATCATGATAATTTGTTACGGCAACATTAGAAAACTAATATATAGTGAAATTTTTAAAACTCATTCTCTCAAAATGGTCTTAACAACAGACACATCTAGGATCCTGCCACATATTCTAACCCTTTAGGAAAGTATCTGATAAGTTCAACTGTGGTGGCTCATGCATGTAATCTCAGCACTTTGGGAGGCCATGGTGGGAGGATTGCTTGAGCTCAGAAGTTTAAGACCAGCCTGGGCAACATCAGGAAACTCTGTGTCTACAAAAAATACAAAAATTAGCTGGGTCTGGTGGTTCACGATTGTAGCCCCTTCTACTCAGGAGGCTGAGCTGGGAGGACCACTTGAGCCCAGGAGGTTGAGGCTGCTGTGAACAGTGGTAGAGCCACTATATTCCAGCCTGGGTAACAAAGTGAGACCCTGTCTCAAAAAAAGAAAAAGAAAAGAAAAAGTATCTGGAGATACTTTTGAAGCAACTAGGTCTTGTATATTCCCCCAAAGACACAGCCTAGAGGTGTAAATGTTAACAGTATCTCTGTTTAAAACACCACCTATAGAACTTCTGAAAAAGTGGCATTTTGTTTTTCCCAAAGAGCTCTGTACTAGTTCAGAACTCCTAGACTATGTATCACATAGGGCTCAAAAGCTAATCTTTAAGGTCATCCTGAAGAATTCTTTCCACTTCTACTTGTGATTATTAATCACACAGATCCGTGGGTGCCATTAGAGTAAGTGATTCTGCCTTTTTCCCTACTACTTTAAAAGGCAAGGTCTACATGTATAAAATAAAGATCGTTTACCTGACCTTGGATAGCTCTAAGTATGCCTAGAGTTTAAGTTTCTGTACTGGTACGGGTTTGCTTCTGATACCTTCTACCCAGACTATTGAATAGCAAGTTGGCTTTTTTGTTTGTTTTGCTTTTTTGTTTGTTTTGTTTTTTTGGTTTGGTTTTGCTTCTGACCTCCTAGGTTCTGACCCCCAAGTTGCCATGCAGATAAAAGCTGGCCTGGCTACTGAAATCTCCTCCCACATTCCAGGAATTTTTCTTCAGTTCCATGCACCAATGCTAAGGTAGGCAAAATAATTTCCATGCCAACTTGTGCTCCACCCTGCTACCTAGGAAACAAAGCAGAACCAACTCTAGCTCTCCATGTCTTACGGAGATTTTAACAATCCTGCTTTCGTTGTTGTTGTCTTACTCTCTGTTCTGCAGATATTTAAGATAAGTCCCAGAGGGATAAGGGATACCTAGAGATCAATGTCAGCGGCATGGAGACTGAGCAACTGTGCTATATTCAAAACTCTCCTGATAGAGAAAATAGAACTAGATTTAAATCCCTATTATGAACTGAATGTTTGTTCCCCTTCTCTGCCCCCCACAAATTAAATGTTGAAATCCTAACCCCCAACGTGATGGTATTAGGAGGTAGAGCCTTGGAGAGGTAACTCAGTAATTAAGTTGGAGCCCTCATGAAGGTGAATACTGCCCTTATAAAAAAAAGAACCCAGAGAAGTTTCTTACCTTTTTTCTACTACATGTTGATACAATGAGAAGGCAAGGGTTTGCAATCCAGAAGAGGGCCTTCACTACATTGGCACTCTGATCTCAGCCTTTCAGCCCCCAGAAATATGATGAATAAATTTCTGTTGTTTATAAGACACCCAGGCTACTGTAGTTTGTTATAGCAGCCGGAACTAAGATATATTCTGCCTTCAATATCTAGAAAACTGAATATAATACACAAGGAAACAGTTTTTAAACATTGAAAAACTGGTAGCACAGTACTGTGATTCCCAAGAGAGGGGACACAAATGAGGTGAGTCTCATAATTTCTTCCAGAACTGACCGGAAGTGGTTTATATACCTACCACAAGGACCATCCCAAACATAGCATGGTGGTTTCACTGAGTTAAGTAAAGATTGATGTTCAGCCAGACTCAGGTGGCTGTAATTTTCAGGGTGGAGTATTAAAAAGGAAGGAGGTTGC